TCGTTGGCTTCAAAGTCCTTCAGATGCAAAGGCAATAGGATTTAGAAGAGTTTTGTTTTCAAAAAGAACTAACGCGTTTATGTTTGCAGTATATTTTCACGGTCAGTATAGAGGTTCTGACGGTCTACTAGACAAATTTGACGAAATGAGAATCTTTACGGTTCGTTCAGACGAAAGTCTTGAGAAGACTCTAAATGACTTTCAAACTCAAATAAACAAATATTATTGGGAATTTCAAGAAAAATACGACTCTTTACTAAATGGAACATACTATCTGAAACTAGAATATGACAAGATGAACTCCACAGTTTCATTTCAAAGGATTGAAAATAACCCTCCAAGAGATACACAGTTTTTATTTTGGCAAGTAGACAAACGTTCTTGGGCACAATTTCTTCGGTTACTAAACCAGAACGAACCATTACCACCTGACGGTCCGTTCTGGTTTATACGCCCACCAACAGATTTGACAGTTTATAGAAACGTGTTCGACCCTCAAAATGTTATGTGTCATGCAAGTTTCAGTTCAAGCAACAATAGTTTTCTTTGTATTGGTAAGGACTTTTATGACTTTGCTTCTAAATTCTACGAACCACCTAGTAACAGTTTCTCTGACTTTCAAGTTTGGTTCACAACAAATGGTGTGCAACATATTGTTCCATTGTACTACGACTTTTATCTCGAATTGTCTTTCATATATAACTACGGAGAAGTGCTGAAAAAGTATTGAAAAATATATTTTAGGTGAAGAGGTGAGATTTCACCTCTTTTTTCACCTGTTTTTTCACCCTCATGAATTTTCATGAAATTTGTGCTGAATTCGACAAAAATGAGTTTTGGTTGAAAAAAGAGGTGGAGCCAAAAGTGGCTCGACCTCAAAACAAGCATTTTGTGAAGAATATACCAACCCGCGGAAAACAGCGGGTTACTTTTTATACAAAATTCAACAGGTGAATTTTCATGAATTTCCTTAAGATAGAAAAAAATAAAACTAACTTTATTTTTTTTAAGTTTGGTCATCCTTCACTGTATGACAAATATACTATATTTTACTTAAAAATATGCAAGCGGCTCATAGCTCAGTGGTATGGGCTACCTCGTTAAAGGCGTCGAAGACCTCGGTTCAAATCCCGATTCGCCCAGGTTTTTTTCCTTTTATGCAGTGAAATTTCATGTACATAGGTTACTTTGGTGTTAGACCCTAGTGAAGAAAATAGAACGATAGGAGTTTACATTTGTAAAGTTGGACGATAAAAATCTCTGCTACTAGCAGTACTGCTACTGTCAGTAAAAGTACTGCTACTGTCAGTAAAAGTACTGCTACTGTCAGAAAAAGTACTGCTACTGTCAGAAAAAGTACTGCTACTGTCAGTAAAAGTACTGCTACTGTCAGTAAAAGTACTGCTAGTTGCAGTAAAAAGGAAAATTTGAGAGGGTTTTCGACGATAAAGTACTGCTACTGTCAGTAAAAGTACTGCTACTGTCAGTAAAAGTACTGCTACTGTCAGAAAAAGTACTGCTACTGTCAGTAAAAGTACTGCTACTGTCAGTAAAAGTACTGCTAGTTGCAGAGATTTTTATCGTTGTGGTCCGACGGTTAAGCCACAAACGAATGTCCGACGTCCCACCAAAAATATTTTTTATTTTTATTGTAAGAACAGTATGACAGTCGAAGCAAAAACGTTCACGAACAAATCTAATGGCGAAACATTCACAAAAGGCACTTACAACGGTATTGAAGTCTTACGTAGAGACAAGGATGGTTATATAAATGCAACAAAGATGTGTCAGCAGTTTAGGAAAGACTTTAGAAGGTTGTTGGAAAATAAGTCCTGGGAAGAGTATTTTGAGGCATTTTGTGAAGAATATACCAACCCGCGGAATTCCGCGGGTTGCTTTTTTATACACAGTTCATGCAGGAATTCCTGATGAAATCAAACAGGTTAGAGGAACGTATGTAGACCCAAGACTTGTAAACTATATAGCAATGTGGGCTTCTCCAAAATATTTATAGCAGTTGGAAAAATTTTGGATTCCATAGACAAGAAAGTTCATGAGAAGTTAGATGAAGAAGAACTTGAAGATACAGTAGAAAAGCTAAACCTTTGTTCGAAGAAGAAGTTTAGAAAAATGCATGAAAAAAACAAATAGAACATGAACGTGAGATATGTTCTGGTTATAGAGACTCGCCATACGAACTAGACCAATGGGAACAAGAAGATTTAAAGAGAGAATTTAGAGAATATGAACTCGCTAAGATAGCATTAGAAGCTGCAGAAGAGAGGTTAAAAGCTTGGGGTTGTTTTGTACAAAAATATTGTGAGTAAATGAACCATTTTTTTCGACAAAAATATATTTTAGGTGAAGAGGTGAGATTTCACCTCTTTTTTCACCTCTTTTTTCACCTCATGAATTTTCCCGAAATAAAAAATAAAGTTGGTTTTTTTAAAAAAATATTTTTTTATTTTTATTGTAAGAACATGTTAGCAACAACAGCACCAAACTCTTTAGTCATGAACCCAACTTCAATGTTAGTAGAGATGAAAAGCTTCATTCCTTCTTCATATACTTTCGAAACAAAAATCCAGAAGATAAAGCAAGAACTTTTAACAAGTAATTTAGACTGTAGTGCGAAAGATGAAACAAATGAACAGTATCTTTATGAAATGCAGGACATTATTGACCATTTACCCAAACTACCTGAAATCCAACAACAAAAACTAACTATTCCAGAATTCGATGAAATAGAAGTCAAAGCAACTGACTCAGTAGAAATAAAGAAGTTCATACGAAAGGTTAACTATGAGTTTCTTGGATTTCATTGCAACCACAAAGTCATGGACAAAGATTGCGATATGGTATATAAGAACATCTCTGACATATACAAATCTGGGGAGTTTAAGACCTACGACAACTTTGTTTCGTTAGTTGCAAAATGTGTATGGCAGATAAGAGATAAAGATAGAAGAGGTAAGATATGGAATGAACAAATAAGACCCGCAACTTTTGAGTTAAAGAGAGCAATTGACGCCTTAGTTGTTTTAGCAGTAAGGTTTCAGAATATAACGCAAAAATGAACCCGCAATGTTCAAAATGTAAGCAGCAATGAGAAATATAACTACTCCGTCAAAGAGATAGAAGTATGCGAAACGACTATGCTGACTTAAAGAAAGAAGTAGAGAAACCAGCAGAAGATAAAATGAACATGTTTAGCATTCTGAACAAAAAACTATCCAACTGCTGACGATTTCCTTCTATCTGACGTCAAGAAGAAGTATTAAAGAAACTTTCGGTATCGTTAAAACATTCGATGTACTGACAGAAGAAATAGAAGCTACGAAATTGTTTAGGATTTCAAATATACATCATACAATTCATGTAAACGCTTATAAAATACAGTGAAAAAAAGAGGTGAAAAAAGAGGTGAAATCTCACCTCTTCACCTAAAATATATTTTTATTGAATTCAGCAACAAAATTCTGAGTAAAAATAATTTTTAGGGTTGTGTCAAAACGTTGAGTTTTCACAAAATTTAAAAAATAACGTTTACCATGTGAAACGCTTATAAAATAACTGAGGTGAAAAAACAGGTGAAAAAAGAGGTGAAATCTCACCTCTTTCACCTAAAATATATTTTTGCTGAATTCCGTATGAAATTTCATGAATTTCCTCATATGCTTTTCCTCGAAAAACCGAGAGAAGAACAGCGAGTAGTGAAAAAACCCTGGTCGCCAAAACTCTTTATTTTTCAAGCTTGACTTTTTACAATTTGAACTTTGTTTGCGTAGATATGAATTCTGAAAGAAGTATGGGTCTTGTATGACTTTGTACTTCTCCCATAGTTCATGTCTGTCAAACTTACCTGCCATGGACTCTTTCATAAGTTCCATGAAATCGTCTTCGGACAATCCAGGGAAAAGTATGATATCAGTAAGTATTCTTTTAACATCCTTACTTAAACTCTTTGCTGTCTGTACACAAATGACAACTGAGATGTTAAAAGTGTCTGAGCTTCTTAAGAATTCGACACATGTCTTGTTCTCTGTTCTTTAACAAAGGATGAGAAGCAAAGTCATCTAAGATAAGAAGACACCTATGAGGGTATGTCTTCCAATCGTAAGATTGCAATTTCTTCGAAATGTATTCTATCTCTTTCTGTTTGTTTCTGAAGTGTTTCTTCTCTAATATTCTCTGCATTTCCTCATTTGGGTCTTTAAACTTCGAATTGACATACTCATTTATAGCATTGTACTTCAAAACTCTTCTTTGGTACTTCTTTATCCAATCTAACAACTCAGAGTTCTTTTATACATACTAACTTAGACTTCTTTATAATATCTTTGAACGAATTGACGGTTTGGTCAAATTGACCCGAAGTACTACAAATGACTACTAACTCATAGAATGGGTTCTTCTCATCTAGTTCTTGTTGTTGTGCAGCCATTTTAAGATAAGTGAAAGTCTTACCCGACCCAGGTGGTGCGATTAGACCTGTTATTACCATTCTGAGCAAATAAGAACTTGTCATGTATAGGCTTTATCTGAGCATTTTCTAACTTCCTCTTGTTCTTCTTCAAAAACATTCTCAAATTTCTTGTCAATGTCAGCAAACTTTTTTCTAACATATTTTTAGAAAAATTAAAATTTTTATCTTTTTGAAAATGTCTAGCGATTTCGCTATCTATATTCGAGACAAGCTTTTCGACAGCAAAACATCTGTAGACCATAAAATCTTACATAGTGTAAACAAGAAAGGTGAATTTGTTCTAAAGTTCTGTTTCTGGGAATATGACAAGAACCATAAAACATTAAGCAGAGCAGTCTTAAAATTTGTCAATGACAGACTTGTTGACAGAGATGACGCCGATTGGAAAGATGAAGTCCAACAAAAGTTCTTAGAATGCAAAGAAGACACATGCGCTGTTCTTGAAGATGAAATAGAAAACAGAATAGAAGAGCTATTAAAGGACAAAGACCTTTTACAAAAATATGGTTCTGAGAAATTTGACATAACTCCACCAGAAAAGAAGAAGAAGAGAGAGAAGAAAGAAAAGAAAGTAGAAGAAGAGAAGAAAGAGCCAGAGCCAGAGCCAGAGAAAAAGAAATTTGACATGTAAAAATAAAATTTTATTTTTAGAACATTTCTGGGTCAATGTCAATGTTCTCTTCCTCTTTAGGAGCAAACACTGGCTTAGACTCTAAAATCTTTTTACCCAATTTACCTTGAACTTCAACTATCTTAGACTCATAATATTCATAGTCGTCTGCTTTCTTTGGTTCATAAGGTATAACAAGTTTGTATGCTTTGCCTTCTTTAAGGTTTGAAAACCTTCTGTCAAAATTTTCTTTGACTGCTAACAAACCTTCTATGTCTAAGTCTTCAAATTTCGCACCATTTTTAGTCACAATAGCAAACTTAACTGGTTCGATGTTCCAAACTTTGTCAAATGTAGACTTTTCAAAATGGTAGAAGTAAACATTCAAATAAGCGAATGGGTCTAGTTCTTCTTTAAGTCCTGACATATATTTGTTGACTGAAATATATTTCGTCATCTTTTCTATCGGATAAAAAAATATTTTTTTTAAATTTACTCAGAAAAATTTTTCTTTGTATATACGCCGTTCTGAACATCTAAAAGATTTTTGACATTTGCCAAGAATGTACGTTTAGAAGCTGCCATATAACCATATTCTTGACAATATTGTTTATATTCATCATATAAAGACCTTTCATCTAAACACTCAAAGTCGTTTTCATCTATAAACAGTTCATATACACTCTTGTTTGCTTCTAACAACGTTTGTCTCTCTTCGGTATGTGGAATTTGTCTTGGATTGAAGTTAGAAATATCTAATGTCATGAAATATGAGAACAAGTGGTTGTAAAAGTTAGGTGTCAAAGTTTCTGCTAAGTCGTCAAAATATTCTGTATCTTGCATATGAGAATCTGACGTTCTGACAACTACATATCTTCTGTCAGAACTTTCTAACTTCATCGGAACGGCATTGTTTGAAACCATGATGAAATTTGCAACATTTTCACAAACTCTTTGGTCTTTATATTTTCTTTCAACAACTCCAACTTTGTCTGTTATAAGACTCTTCAAAGCATCTGAGTTTAAAACCTTTGTTGTATCTATACTTTGAAGTTCGTTACATACTATAAGTTTCATATTCTCTATTGAAGAGTTAAATTTACCGCAGATGTTTTCTAAGTTTGTCATATTAGGGTTCGAATAGCCCTCTAACAGTTTGCATAAGATATCTGTAAGAAAGTGTTCTTACCTGTTCCTTGTTTTCCAATTATAATGAGAGCAGTTTCATTTTTAGCACTTGGATATTGTAAGATGTTTGCAAACCAACATAAGATATACTCATAAACCTTTTCGTTTCCATTGCATATAATTTCTTTGGACATGGTCTAACCAAGCTTCTATAACATTTTCTTTCCATTCTACTTGTTCGTATTTATATCCAGTGAAGATAGAATAGAAGTTTGGAGAAGGTGTATAGAACTTTATACCACGAACTGAAAAATCTTCTAACTTTGACAATAAGATATCCCAAGCATCTAACATCTTCATTCCAACTTGTACGACTTTTATTTTCTTAAGTTTCTGTCTACATTCTTGTTCTGAAACTATTGTCGCTCTTGGTTTGTTAAAGACAACATCCCATTCTTTCATGACATAACATTCTGGGGCAGAGTCGACATAAATGACTAAACGTTTCAAATTCTCGACTGCTTTGTTATAGTCTCTAAATGGACACATATTTCTGAATGCTTGGAAGTCATAAAAATCTGAAACGTCTATTCTGTACATTTTTATAAAAATAAAAAAAATATTTTTTTTATTCTTGACTTTGTGTTGCATTTGTTCCATTTGTTGCATTTGTTGTTCTTGAGCTATTTGTTGTTGAAGTTGTTCTTGTAGTACAATACTTTCACCAGTTGCATCTTCCAATTCGAAACTTTCTGCCGTCATTGACAAATACATAGGACATAAAAGTTTTACAGGAACAAAGTTTTGCGTCGACTAAGGTTAAGTTTATGTTTGCTAAAGTGTTTGAGTTCACTAAAGCTGAAAACTCTGCATTCGAATGAACAATAGGCAAACCAGCAGAGAATGTGTTGTTTATACGCATGAGTATCTTTTGGTCATAGTAGTTTCTGTCGACATTCGAATAACACTTTGAACCTAAGTTTGAAACAATATATAAAATAGGTGTACTTAAAGTCAATGGAACAGACAAACCTTGTATGACACCTTTTCCTGTTATAGGAAACTGTTGGTAGTAAAAACCAGATATAAGTTTGGTATTATAGCTCATATCGTTTATACTAAACTCAGTCGGACATCCAAACATAATGAAACCTGCTCTAGTTGCAGCACATGTTACATCCGTCCTTAAAGTATTAAATAAGTCAACAAAACCTGTTGGTGGTATATCTGAGTAAGTATCTTCAAAGAAGTATTTTTTACCATTCACAACAATAAAGTCTTCTGGTGTCAAAAGAGCAAAACAGGCTTTAGTCGTCATTGTGTTTAAGGTTAGTTTACAATATCGTCCTTGAGGACTTTGTAAGTTTGTTGTTATAGAATTATATGACTCAGGGTTTTTAGTCGTAATAGTATAAACCACTATGTCTTCTGCCATTTACTTAGCAACTAAATTTTAATGAAATGTTGTGGTCGTCAAATATTTTTATGACGTCGGGAAACTATATTTTAAGTTCAACGTTTCACCTCCTTTCATAACGTATATCTTGTCAATGACATTATATGAAACACCACAGCAACTAACGTCGGGTTCTATTTCTTTGATGTTTATATCGTCTGCCTCTGTCAAAAGTTTCAATAGTTCTTTCAAAATTTCATGAGGTGCGATGACATATGAGTTCACTTTACAGGGTTGTGTTCGACCAAGTTTAACATTATACCCAAAGCCTGACAAATCTTCTCCTGAGTTTTAAGTTTGTCTTTCAGTTGTTGGTAGTCGTTTCGAATATCTGCAACAGAACTTAAGTCTCTGCTAACTTCAGGGTATGTTGGTTGTTCTTTTACAGGAACTATTGTTATACCATCTTCGTCTTCGTATGGTTTCCCCACTTCAACATCTCTTTCTTTGACATTGACAACAACACTTTGACTGTTTGTTTGAGTTGGTGAATTTAACTTCACATCTGCCACCGCCATTAAACCTTTTGAAACACTTACGCTTCTATTTTTCGGAAATGACATTTTACTTAGAATAAAAAGATGGACGTATTTGAGTATCTCTTCGAATTGAAGCAAAACAAAGTTTACACACACAAACAATACAAATACACTGATAGAATAGTTCTTTATACAAACAATGGAAAATGTTATAGAATAGCAGTCTTTGCTGAACCAAAATATTTCCATAAAGCAAAGAAAGTTGGTATAACTGAGATGGTGAAAGTTCTTGAAGCAGACAAAAATATAACAACAAAACTTACAGATATTTCTAAAGGAAAGTTTATAATACAATTTTATGTCAAAACTGGCGTACTGTCAATATTTGACGGAGAGAAGTCAGTTCAAGAACAACTTACTGACCTGCTGCCAAAATCTGCTCGATGGAAGCTGTCGTTTATACCAATCTGAGGAGCCCCAGCAGGTTTCATCGAACGAATCTTCAAAAGAGCATCTTCCGTGAAAAGTGCTATTGGTTTTGTAAACTTCTTTGCTTTCAATTCATTTGGACCGTCTCTGTCACCAGTATATTGTATTTGAACTGTACCAACAGTTGAAATACCACCATAAAGTCTTCTGAGTCAGCAAATGGAATGCCAATCCAAAAGTTTGAACGGTCTCCATTTGTATATTGAGTGTTTTGAGCTCCTGTATGAGTCCATACTTTCACATATGGCATAATAGAACTTTGCATTTCAGGGTTAATGGTTGTTGTGAAGTTGTTGTTAAAGTTCATAGCATCTAATGTCAAGTTGTATGACCTCATATCCTCAACTGTAGAATATTCTTCTCTTGGATAGTATTTGCCATCTATGTTTATATGGTATTTAATACCAGGGTTGTAGAAGCAAGAATAGTCATTTATAGTTCGTCTGAACAGTACAAACATAGTATCTGCATGTTTCATTGCAGTTGTTAAAGCAATATCTGTTCTTGCACCTGGGTCAGCACTTTGGTTTCCAACTTCACCTGCAAAGTCTTTGACAGATATTTGGTGTATAGGGAACATAAGTGGAACTGCAATATATTTGGCAGCTAAAGCATTTGAAATATCTGGGTCCAACATATAGACTGCAAGTCTGCTTTCTATTCTCTTGCATTCAAACTTTTCGCATGTGAACTTAACTGGGTCCCAAGCATCTCCAGCAGCATTGAAATAATAGTTTACTTCAGTGTTGAGGTTTGAGAAACCAAAGTCTAAGTCAACTTTGTCTTTGCAAAATTCAGCGAATGACGTTTTATTTGTTCCCTTTACGTCTGTAAGAGTGAATGGGTCTTGTGTTGGTGCAATGACTAAGTTATTTTTGCTTGGGGTGAGTTCGATAGAAATTTTTCCTGCCCAGTTTGGCAAGTATCTTAAAAACCTGAAGATGAGGAAAGATGACAAAGGAACTCTAAGTTTCAATTTTACTTTGGTTACTGCTGCTGCAGTTTGTCCAGAAAGGTCAACATAAACTCCTGGAACGTTAGGGTCAAGTCTTCTTATTTTCTCAATGGTGGCGTACTGGTCTGTTTGTTCTCTAGCTTGTGGTTGTACTGAGTTTCTCAAGCGAACCATTCATAGTTTGCCCATGTTACTGTTTGAACTAAGTCAGAGTTAGAATATATCTTATATCCCATGAAAACTTCTGGAGCATATTGGTATCCGACATAGAAAATTCCATTGCAACCTTTCTTGTCAGACAACTTGGCAGAAGGTTTTATTTCAATGTCTTGTTCCACGTATAAGAAAGAGTTGTCAATAGAAATTATATGAAACCTGTCGCAAGCAATATCTACTGTTGTTGAAGAACCTTCTCCAAACTCACCTACGTTTCCATAAGAAACAGCAGTTGTATATTCGTAAGTTCCAGGAACTATTTCTGACCTTCTAATGGCATTGTCGCATTCGTTATACC